TTATTACATTATTATTACTTATTATTGGTTTGTTTTTTTTTTTTGGCTTTTTGGGTCACACCCTGTGATGCACAATGCACAGGGGATACTTCTGGCTCTGCAGTCAGGAATTATTCCTGACAGTGCTCGGGGGATCATATGGGATGCTGGGGATCGAACGCGGGTTGTCCGTGTGCATGGCAAACACCCTCCCCGCTGTGCTATCACTCCGGCCTTGACATTATTGTTTTACTTGTTTTAGCAATTTCAAATTTGCACACAATGCAAAAGATAAATGTATTTCTTGGAAAATACTTTGAAGTTGAAAATACAAGATTAGAAATACTCTTGACGCATTATTCTAGTTAAGCTCAATAGGAGTGGAAGATACTCTGAACAATTGAAATTGAACTTTGGTATTCTGTGATGTAATAAATTGCATTAATTTCAATTTTTAAATTAAAGTAGCTGAATATTTCTAAGTAGTGACTAGTGAGGTATTCTCACTACGTTCGTTAAAGAATCTTAATATTCTGAGTACTGAAAGTGGCTTTTCTTTGAGAAAAATCCAGAAAAAAAATTTCACAGCTTCTACTTCTAACATTTTTTTCCTTTGGCCTTAAATACTTAAAAATTCATGAGCTCTCCATTGATTTTATTAACATCTTGTAGAAAACCACTTCTTTGTAAAACCACTTTTTAAATTGGGTATGAATTAATGAATCTCGGTAATGAGTATTATTAAGTAATAGTAGTAATTAAATAGGGAAGTAATACATTCATGATTTTCTAAGTGATTTCTTGCTGTCCTGAGAGGCTTATTTATATCTAATGGCACATAATTTGTTCTTACAGGATAACAATTCATTCTTTCGAACATTATGATATTTAGAAAAACTTCAAAAATGTTTTATAATAAGCCAAATTTGAATTTTCATAAACTCTAATTTGCAGTTGTGGTGACTTATTATTTCGAGGTATTTCAGGCCTCTTTCCCTCAATAAAACCTCAATAGATACTTCCCTAGATTTTAGATATTTATTTGGAAGGTGATAAAGTTAAGTCATGCCTAATATTGCTAACCAGTTAGCTGTTCTGTATTTCTCTTTCAGTTTTTACATTTTGGCTTGTATCCAGAATTTTATCAAAAATTTAAAAAGAATAAAAGGTAGTAGAAATAGAAGACAAAATTTCTATCCCTCTGTTACTGCTGCTTGCCAGTCAAGTTAGGTCTATTTATTGTCTTACTTGAACTTTTAATATATACGTCGTAACACTACTGAAAAACTTTTAAACTAGGAGAAAATATATAAGCAGGAAGGTGTTAAAAAAGAAGAAATGCATGGGGGGGGGGGGGAGTTCAAATGAGCTCTGTGATGAGGGAGATGAGGGGGAGCCTTGAACCTTGGAGCAGTCTTCTCCCCACCAGGTTTGTGACATAATATCTGTTCTGATTGCATGGTGTGAGTTGGTGTTCATGGTCTTTTTAGTTGAGGACAAGAATCCACGATAAAATTAGATTGCTTGTTGATCATCTTATGTGGAAGGACTGAGGGTTCATTGCTAAAGAACCACTAACCTGTCTTCTCGCCCCAGGGTGTGAGCACTGAAAAGGATTAAGGCCCACCGTAGGGAAGCTTGAACTGAAGCCTACACTGCCCTTTCCCCTGTTCTTTCAGTTAAATAGAAGATTTTTAGTTCCCATGACTATCAATCTGGTTCTTTTCATAAGCACCCAGTTCTTTTAAGAAAATTAAAATCACTTATTTTCAGAAATCCACTGGTCTAAAACAATGAGGATTTTTAGTTGGTATTTTATATAAACAGGACCTATACATATATGTTGCTGATGTATATTTGTTTTACTTTATGTTGGATTTGGTGGTCAGTGAAAAAATTTGAAAGTTATAGAAGGATTCATATACATATATATGTGTGTATATATATCTATATCTATATATATATGGGTGGGTCTGCTTATTCATTAGTATGGAACTTGGCAGTTTGAATTTTACATTTATTAGAGAAAAAACTGACATCCCTGTGGACATTACTTTAACTTTTATTTCTGACTGCAGTTACAAAGTGCTTTCTATGTTCAAAGGCTTTTAAATTGCCTTTTAAATGCTGAAGTGTCATGTGTTTTTTCAGTATTGTATTTTATCCTGGAAATATATTTTGATTTTGTTAACTAAAAATAATTGAAGTGTATTAAACATTTTTAGTAGTTATTTTTTCCCCATTTAATTTGAGCTTTTGTTGTTACTAACAAATAATTTGTGGCACAGTTTCTTTTCTTTTTTTAACGACTGCTAGAATCTGTATACTTGTCACCTTAGTCTGCTAGAAATGTTCCACTCAGATCAAGAGTTCCTTTCTGGTTTTGTATGTTCTCACCTGCTCCTCACTGTAAATCATTGAGATGTCAAGTACAATGATTAATTAAGCTGCACGTGCAAGTGCTTTTTTTTTTTTTCCACCTGTCAAACAGGAAAGAAGTCTTATAGCAAGATTAGTTAGTACTAATTCACAGCTTTTACTCCAGGCTGTCAAGTGTGTGGAAATATTTTATATTTTTATGTTTATTTAAAATATGGCATACCAGGATCTGTTTGGAATTCTTAAGTATTTTAAGATACAATTATTATAGTAAATCATTAAACTTATAATTAGAGGAGAGCAAATTCAGAATTCCTCCATAAGTGTTTTAGAATTTAATGTTCATACTTTCAGTTACCTTTTATTCAAGTACTAATAATTTAAGTTTATAAGTTGTGATACATATAATTATAAACACATGCATCGATATAATAAATCCTGTGAGCCCCATTCATAGTGAGATCTATTTCCATTGTGACATTAACTATGGAATAAAATAATGAGGGAGGTTACTGTACATTTTTTTGAGTAATATTTATGCAGTGTAACATTAAGGTTTAATTTTTAGTTAATATAAAACAACAGACATGGGGAGCTTTTTTTCCCTACCCACGTTCTTTTACCTCTCCCTCTTTTTAAACTGTCAATAAAAGTAAAACCTCAAATTGTATAGTAATCTTAATCTATTATTAAAAGGTCCTAGAAAGGAAGATTACAAGGTAGATTCAGGTTTTGAATCGGTTTTGCCATTGGTTTAGCAGCGGGTGGGCAGGCAGATGCCTGCTCAGAGTAGAACCTATTGCCATTTTTCACCATTGATAGAGTAGCCTTTCAGAGTCAATGAGCTCTGTCAATGTGAGCTTGTCAAGGCTACAACTTCATAGACCTGAGAGGCGGTTTGAGAGGTCAGCCCTTTTCAGGTTCGCTGTGATGCAAATGAACTTTAATGCTTAAACAACTATTGGAATTTTTATGTCTGCTCCTTGTTCTTTTTTCTTCACAAAGTCATTGACGAGACATTCAGTGCTTTTTAAATTGGGAGTTGCATTGTGCTAAAGACCTAGTACAGATTTACGGAGGGCTGAAAGCAGTTAGATCATGTTCTTTTCATGGTGCGATTAGAATCAAATCGATTTCCCTACAGCCTTCAGCATTCAGATGGCAATTTTAACAAAGCTTGGGGGCTAGACAAGGGACAAAACGACTGAACTGAATGTTAATTACACTCTGCAGCCTTATTTTCTTTTGATTTGGGGCTGACTGGCAACTAAATTAACAAAAAGTGTGACCATAACTGCTGCCCTATTTTCATTTAAAAGGAGAGCTGCCTCTAAAAGGCTATCTTTACAAAGAAACAAGTGAGGTCTGCTGATCATTGTTAACAAGGGCACTTTTTTTCCTTTAAAATTCTTGCCCCCCCCCCCCCCCAAACTGTTCAAAAAGTAATGTAATAAATTAGTCATTGGTGTATTCTTACCCAGAGAGGTAGTCAGTTTCTCACTTTTATGACATAATTTCAGAAAATCTAAGTGGTAATTTATTAGTTATGAATTATAATTGGCATATACGTAGTTGTATGTCTTAACATGTTCCACGTGCTAAAAGGTAGTAGGTCGGAGATTTCATGAGCGACGTTAAATATTAACGTCAAATTATTCAAAACCAGCTTGATTCTAGCACTTTTACCCACCTCTTCTTTGCTTGACATTCACAGTTACATATTTGACCATTAGTACTTACTTGGACTGCATTAATAGCACTACATGCTTTTTTCTCTCCCTTGCAAGGAAGCTGCAGCTGCACTAAGTTGCAGTTGATTCTTAGAGAACACTGTCCTTTTTTGCACCTGCAGCTGTGTCAGTCTCATCCTAGCACCTGGCACCATGAATTATCCTCCCCTTTATTTATATTCCAAACAAATATTTCATCTTACGTGGTATATGGTATATACTACAACAAACAACTTTTAAATGTGAATTTCTCAGTTGATTCCTGTAACAATAGTACTGAATTGAGAGCTTGATTTTGACTGTCAGATGGTACTTTTGCACCGACTTTAACATTTTCCCTCTTTGAAAATTTTTTTCTGTGGAATAATAGACTTTTAACTGTGAGCATTATTTTTCAAGTATGGTGTCGGCATTATCTTAAAATATGACATAAAGGTCAATATGATTTGATAATTCACTGAACTTTTTTTACTTACTAACTAATTATTTCCATTTTGAATTTCCCCTCAAGAATTTCCCTTTTTTATTTTGCTTACTAAAATTTAAATAACCTTAACAAATAATACTAATTTTTATTACTTTAATATTACAGAATTTTGGAAAAAATGGGTATTGAACTTTGTATCATTTCTGGGTAACATTAACTTTTGGGACTTGAATGATGACTTAAAATTAGAAGATAGTGTTAAACAAGTTCAAGAAGATACCTTTACTAAGAAACTAAAACAAGTCTTTAAAAAACTGTTTCTGTTCAGGTTACTATTTAGTATTGAATGTTGCTAGTGTTGTGGACTAGCCATCCTGTACTCAGTCACTGTCTCGTACCTCTCTCCTTTTCACACAAAAAGCAGCTGCAAAACCAAGTTTTTCTAAAACCAGTCAAGAGTAAACTTTTTCTCATTTGTCTTCTAGACACGAAGATCGATTGAGAAGTTATTAGAATGGGAAAACAATAGGTTATACCACAAGGTGAGTACCACAGGGAGCAGCTTCGTACTGTTGGAGTCTGAATTGCACAGTATGGAAACAGATGCTTTTGTTGAACTAAAAATATGAAAGGTGGACAAATGGGTTAGTCTGTGCACTGCAATAAAATAGAGCTCATTTTTCTTCTTTTGCTCTCCTACTTGTCTAGCTGTGCTTGCACTGGAGACTGAGCAAAAGGAAATGTGAAACGAATAACATGATGGAATATGTAAGTTAAAGGGCTGTTTTGTGAGTTTCTCTATTAAATGATCATTTATTTTGCTTCTGATCTTATTCTTTTCATGATTATTAATCAGCAAAGGTGTCAGGAGCTTAATCTCCTGAGCGCAAGGATTTTCTACGGTTCACAGATGCATGGTTTCATGTGCAGGACTGATTTATAAAGTTATGAATGACTTGAAAACAAGGCTTCACTGTGTTCTGAAAAATAATAAATTAATTGCCAAGATAAAATAGCCTGAACGTGTGTTGATGGAGTGTGAAATTTTAGATGCTGTATAAAGAATAACCACAACTTTGGTTACGCAGCAAGTCAGATATGGCTTTTTTTATATAATGCTAATCAAGTTTCCAAGTAGGGAAGAAAACCTTTCAACCAAGCCATTGGAGCTTAAGAAACCTTTAGCCTTTATAGATTTTAACTGCCCATACCTCGGTAGCCTTTAAAGACTCCTTCAAAGTGTTACTAGAATATTGTTTTATAAAAGTTAAGTAGGAGATGAAATGTTACTCATTCTGTGTTTCCTTAAAAGATGTAACTTGGGATATGTACACAGTGATTCTTAGAACTTATACAAAATGGAATTTAACTTAATAATTCCTCAATTTATTTGATCAATTTTTCTCCTGAGAAGCTCAGAATATTGTAAAAAAAAAACTACAAATTTTTATTGATTCTCCCTTGAACTTGGGTGTTTCATTTTTAGTATGGAAAGAGTATAACATTGAAAATCTAAGAGAGTGTTTATTGTTAAAGTTAAAGTAATAGCCTTTTATAAAGTACCTGGAGCATCATTTTTGATGAATATTTTTCTATTCTTTAAAATAATATAGCTACCATAGATAGTGTATGTATGTATGTATGTATGTATGTATAAAAAATTGGTTAAAACAGTGCTGAACTAGTTGGAAACATTCATAAAATCATTTTTCTGTGTAAAGTTTTCTCTTTATTTCATTATCCAGTTAAATCCCATTCTAGCCTGGAACATAAAAGGCATTAAAAAAATTTTTTTTTTTCATAGACTAGCTCTATCCAGTGAGCCAAATAATATAAATTTTATCATTATATCAAACATGTTAATTTATGATGATGGGAGAAAAATATGTGGTACATTAAATAACTTTTTAAAAGCACATTCAAATAACTTATTTTAAGATTGACTTGTGAAAATGTAAGTTGTAGTTTCATCACACGTAGTAGGAGAGCTTGTGTGTTTTGGGGGCAGGGATGAATGGGAGATGTAAATAAAATATTTTGTGAAAAGCATTAAACCCAAAATGAAAGTTTTTTACAGTGTTATTGTTTTCTGATAGAACCGTATAAAAACTATTCATAATATATACTTGTTGTATTCATGTCTATTCTTTCATTAACTAAAAATAAATGTACTAAACTTCTGAAGTATCTTAGACTATGTGCTTTGTTTGTAAAATTGTTTAAGTTTTTCATGGATTTTGGATAATTAAGCACTTCTCCAAAGTCATTACAAATAATAGGAAAAAAGAAAACATTTTAAATTCCTAAAAATGTATTTAAAGTGTCATTTCTCCAAAGATGTATATATATTTGTGACAATTAAATTGACACAAAAAGCCAACAAAAAGTGTTACAGGTGTGTTTATTGAATGCTGACTTAGAAGTAGTTTAAGTATTTTATAACCAAAATCTAGAGCTACTAAAAATCATTTATTTTGTGTAATTCCTGTATTTTATACATAAGGAATCTGAGAAATGGGAATCTAACGCAAAGATGCCCAATGGAGACTAGTGATTATTTTGTAGGCAAATGACAGGTCAGGAAAATGGCAAAGATGGCACTTGTGGCTGAGTGCAGGGTAAAGTTAAAGAATATTTTGTTTTTTTTCGTCTTGGTAGGGGATTCCCAGTGTTCTTGGGGCCTCCACACTGGCACCTGGCAGTAATGGAGAGGTTCTGTGGTGCCAGGGATTGAACAGAGGTCTTCCCTAGCTCCCTGGCCTGAGTGGAATATTTTTGAGCTAGGTACAGAGGTAACTTCTTCATGAGGCTGATCAAAAGAGAGGAAAGCTAAAGAGTGAAAATAAATATTTCTTGCCTAGCTGGCTAACCGTAGAAATGCTCTAACCACAGAGATCATAAGTAGACATTTTCTGAAAAAGCATGAAGGCCTTCATCAAACTTAATCAAATAATTTCTGTTCTATAGATTGTAATTGATTTGATTGCACCTCGGGGCTGAAAATAAAAATTAGCTTTTGTCAACTTTTAATTTTCTGTGTTTCCTGTGTTTTGTTTTTGTTGCTTTTCTTTAGTTTCTATTCAAAGGTCCTCTGGAACAATTTTTTACTTTTAATTTTTATCTAGGAAAAAAGGATTTTTGTGTTTTGGAGGGAGATGCTCCAGGGTTGTGCTGGAAATCACCCAGGCTAGCAGGCTGGGGAGGCGCCACAGACTGCCAAGGACCAGACCCAGGGTCCTAGAATTGCTGGGCCTAGGCTGCAGGCCTTTGAGCTATCTCCCTGGCATAAGAACTTACGTGTAAGGGAGAGAAATAAAGGACCAGTACCCGTTATCTGGAAATCACATATCCCGGGACAGTAATCTGAGAGCAGCTGTACAACCTTAAAGACACATGAAATTGGGTTGGATAAAAGGGAGGAAGCCTGAGTAAATAAATATTGGGTCAGTGGCATCCACATAGTACAGTAGAAAGTTCTTGGTTCAAATGTTGACTTCCCACTTTGAGAAATTTTACACGTAATTCTTAGCGCATCAGTCTTAAAATGAGAATGATATGTGTACTTGCCACAGAAAGTTGTTGAGATGAAATAAATGTATATATTATGAAACATCTGATATGTTATTTCTGAATGCTAGCTCTTTTTCCTCATTCATGCATGCATGTGTTCTGTGTGTTAAAGGCACTGTCAGATTGTTTTGAAACATGAAATATAACTGAAGTGCTTTTAACTTAAAAAATGTATTGTCTTTTTAAAGTTTTTTTTTTTTTCCCCCTGCAGGTCATCCTCATAGAATTTTTACCAAAGACACCAATCTTTCGACCAGATTAGCAGTTAACTTTATTTCTAGAGACTTTCCAGTATGTTGTCTTTCCAATGGTGCCTTGCTCGGTGCTCTCCTGGTGGTGACATAACATTGGTTCTACAGAATCGTGTGGTGTTTTTCCCTGTTTTTTTCTTTTTGTTTTGTTTTTTGTTTTTGTTTGTTTTTTAAATAACCGCATGTTCTAAGTGTGCATTTTTGTCAAACTTTGCAACAGTTATTTCATACAGATGTTTAATACTTAAGTTATTGTGCTCTTTTCTGTTATGTATCTGATTTTCAAGGATTACTTTTTTGTATTATCAAAAAAATACATTTGAACTTAGCATTAAAAAGTGGCCAGCCTTTTTTATTTTATCACCAAGAATGCAGTCTATTTATTAATTTCATAATACAGAAAAAATAACTTAAAATTGTCTTAAATAAATTTGATTTATCAGTGAAAATAAGAGAGAAAAAATAACCGTATAAGACTACTTACCTACCTATTCTGGCAAGCACACTCTTTGTATTTTCTTCCTTTTAAAATCTAGCAGTCATTATTTTAATACAGTAAATTTTGTTTTGACTTTTGGAACCTAACATCCTTTCTTACACAATTCCTAATGCTCTGTTTACAGCAGATAAAAGTGTAACCATATTATGAAGATCGATCAGAAAGTGTTTAAAGTCTGTCTTCAGAGGTAGTAAGGCAGGATTAAATTATTTTTTATTAGACTAGACAAAACAATGAGTAGTATGCATGTATTTAATGGTTACTAGAGCTCAGGATCCACAAATATAGTAATGTCACAATCTGTATATTTTTGATCAAGATGATATTAATAATGGCCTTACTTGGGTTACTTTCTATTGTTCATCCAACCCATGTATACAGAAGTATGAAATGATTCCTTTTTAAAAATTCTAAGGAAAACTCAATTGTGGAATGAATATGTGTTTCTGAGTACATCATCTTTAAAGGAATGAAGGGCATATTTAGTACTGTTTTTATTAACTAATTTGCTTTTAGTTCAGTTATGTATACTTTTTTATTGAAAGTATGGCATATAAGTGAATCAGATCAGTTTGTTTCTTTTACTGTACACATGTATGTATGTACATTAACGTACATACGTTTCTTTTTTCTCTTTTTGATTGTACATATCTTCATACATTTTTAAACTTTAAAATTTTTTAAATGGCCTGTGTATAAGTTTTGTTTTTATAAACCTGAAATTATACCAGTTATAAACCTGAAATTATATCAGTTTTAATGTGTGTCAAGAACGTGTTCTATACTACTGTGGTATCGAGCAATAATGTGAATAACTTTTGAAAATCATATGGACTATGCTTAATGATTTGTATTAAGAATTGGTACCACTATACAAACCTTTTTCCCCCTTGTATTAAACCTTTTAAATGCCAGTTTCATTAATTTATATAATCTGTATTTAAGAAAAAAATATTTCTTTGTACTTCTCTAAAGTACTGTAATTCATTATAAATTCAAACAGCTTAATTCCATTTCTCTTATCCTATAAGGAACATTAGGAACAATCTTAATAGATTTTTCGTGAAAGGTCTGAGAATTATTTATGTTCCGTTGTCCCCATCTCCAAACATTTAGCAACTTGAATTTATATGACCTTTTTTTTTTTAATGACATGCTCAAAGTACAAAGTAAGCAGTTCTGACTTTATTTACTTTTTGTCTAGGATTTGACATATCACCTTCAAGTAGTACGATTAAACATGTAATGCTATTCAAAAGCTCTAGTATTCTTCTGTGGTTTCAGTGTGAAAATTTTCTGTATGGAGAATTCTCAGTCTGCCTTTGAGTTTAGAAAAAGCAGGAAGATGTGACTGTGTAGACTATGTAACACAGTGTTCCCCAGCTAAAATTTTATGTTTGTAGAGCACCGCTATTAATCAGCCTTATAGACAAAACTATGATACCATTTTTCCTGTTATCAGTCTTCTACAAATAAAAATTTTAAATTATTTCTGTAAAAATGCTTAATTGTAGGATAATTTGTATAGCTGATAGTATTAAGTATAGGATTTAAGTTTTCCTAATTTTATTGAGAGGTATATTGGTTATTTTAAATTTTCTAATTATACGCCTATATTTCTTATCTATAGAACTGTACCATAAACCAATAATGCTGGAGCAGTTAGCTTTCTAGGCTTGGAGTTTCATTAGTAGTCCCTGTTTCATAACTGGGTTCTCAGGCCTATTCTTTCTTGAGTCATGAATTTATAGGTGTCCATGTTACTGCTGTACTATTAACTCTAGACCAAAACGATAGGTATCTTTAGAGAACTAGCCAAGGAAAAGTATTATTAAAGAAAATTAGTACACTTGAATTTATATGAACCAAGAGAATTGTATGATATTTGTTTATATTTTACAGTTGTTTTACAGTCAGTACACCATTCTCCTGTAGAAACATTATTTTTGGCTTTCCCTTGCAATGTCTGTTTTATTTTAATATATGACTTTATGTTATGTAAAACTCAAAACCTAATGACTGGTATGACTCACTCAAACTTGTGAGGTGTTTTTCCCTCTCACACAGAAGGATCACTTTATCATATAAAATTGTTCTCAGGTGCTTTTATAAGACTATACAATGGCTAGCTTTACTTACTATAGTTGAGTCACTATTTTTTCACTCACAACTCTGACATTTTCAAAATCAAGGAAGATTCAAACCTTAAATAATAAGCATTGATTTCCTGAAAAACAAATTTTCTAATTGGGTAATTTTTGTAGAGTACTTATGATTATTTATTTATATGGGTAGACACAGGCCAAAGAATGCAATTTGAACAATAAGTAAAGTAAGTAAAGGCCCTCCCGTTGATCATCGATTTGCTCGAGCGGGCCCAGTAACGTCTCCATTGGAGACTTTGTTGTTACTGTGTCTAGCATATCGAATACTCTCGGTAGCTTGACGGGGTGTGTAGTTGAACAATATTCCATATAAATAATTTGGTTGTAAAAGAATATTAAATAATAACAATATAGTTGGCCCCCAAGTTGCATGAGTTCAAACTACATTAGTTCTATATAAAATTATGTACATAGATGTTCAGCTTTTATGGTATTCTGCATTACAGTTATAACCCTTAGATGTTTGTTGTGTTTTGGCTCAGCTGTTGGATAGCAGCACTAACCCAAAAGTACAGTGTGTTTAAAATTTTTACTTCCAGGCTTAACTCTGGGCCCTCTTCCTCTCCTGTCCTACTGAAGTACTCTAGTTCCTTTTGCTGCCCACATTATGTCCACAGTCTTCACCACCCCACAGAGTTCAGAATTGTCTGTCTTCTCCAACTCCCCAAAAGAAGGTTTGTTCTTTTGCATTCTTAGCTAGGTGTTAGAAGAGTAATTAAAGACTCTCAGTCTTGTAAATGATGAATAATTGACATTCTCTCTTTTTTTTTAATTGAATCACCATGAGATACAGTTACAAAGCTTTCATGTTAGCATTTTAGTCATGTAATGATCGAATAACCCATCCCTCCACCAGTGCACATTCTCCACCACCAATGTCCCCAGTATACCCCTTCCCCCTCTTCTACCCCCCCTTTCTGCCTCTGTGGCAGAGTTTCTCCCATATTTTCTTTCTACTTTTGGGCATCATGGTTTGCAATATAGATACTAAACTATCACGTTTGTTCCTTTATGTACTTTGAGCACACATCTCCCATCCTAAACGATCCCTCCAACCACCATTGACTTAGTGATCCCTTCTCTGTTCCAGCTGCCTTCTCTCCCAGCTCATGAGACAGGATTCCAACTATGGGGCAATATTCCTGGCCCTTGTGTCTGTTGTCCTTGAGTTCAGTCTCATGTTATTTTATATTCCACAAATGAGTGTAGTCATTCTATGTCTGTCCCTCTCTTTCTGACTCACTTCATTAGCATGATACTCTCCATGACCGTCCACTTATAATAATATTTCATGACTTTTTCTTTCCTAACAGATGCATAGTATTTCATTGTGTAGATGTATCAAAGTTTCTTTAACCAGTTGTCTGTTCTTGGGCACTCAGGTTGTTTTCAGATTCTAGCTATTGTGAACAGTGCTGCAATGAACATACAGGGGCAGACGTCATTTTTACTATAATAGCTGACATTCTCAGTCCTGCTAAAGTGGTCACTGTCACTGTCCTCCCGTTGTTCATCGATTTGCTCGAGTGGGCCCAGTAACATCTCCATCGTGAGACTCGTTGTTACTGTGTTTGGCATATCAAATACTTCATGGGTAGCTTGTCAGGCTTTGCCGTGCGGGCGAGATACTCTCCATAGCTTGCCGGGCTCTCCAAGAGGGGCGTTGGAATCGAACTTGGGTCAGCCATGTTGGCCGCTTGCAAGGCAAACGCCCTACCCGCTGTGCTATTGCTCCAGCCCGCTAAGGTGGTACTTGTTAAAAACAGTTTCAGGGCTGAGGGATGTGGCTCAGTGTTAACTTGCACATGCTTTTCATGCATGTGTAAGACTCTGGATTTGATCCTTACACATTCTACACACACCCTACGAAACAAATTTTTAAGAAGAGTTTCTTATATTTACAGTTGGTGCAGTGGTACAACTGGTATTTTCCTTTTGAACAGATCCTATTAGTCCAGACTTTAAAGGTAGTGAGGAAAAGATTATTATATAAGGAACTTCTCAGACCACCATTTCTGAGGAAAGTTAATGTCTAATACTCGAATGGAAAGAATAGGTTCATGGCTAATCCTCAACCAGGGTAATATTCTATAGTTTGTGTTTAAATGACCGCTCATTGTTGCTTTATTTAAAAAACAATTGGTGGTGCGTGGCAGAGTGTGTGTGTTGGGGCTGGGGGCCTACACCTACCAGTGCTCAGTGCTTGCTCCTGACTCTGTGCTGAGGGGTCATTCTGGCTGGTGCTTGATGATCATTTGTGGTGCTGGGATTGAACCTGGATTATAGGCATGCAAAAGCAATACTTTAATTCCTATATTTTCTCTCTACCCTAAATACCCTTTTAAAAGGAAGTATAGTTGTGTAATTTTCCATTAATATAATAGCCAACTTTAAATTGTTATTCAGAGCATATTTTTTAGAAGTTGATATTTGATTTTTTTTTTGTACTCCTGTAAATATTTTAGCGATTTAAGTTGTCTAAATACTATTTATATTATTAGTCACTCACACACCCTCCACCACCCCCTGTAAATTGAACTTACAGGGTTTGTTTGTATCCTTAATAGCTAATATTATGAGCAGAAAATCAGAATACTAATTCTGAATGAATTTTTAAACTATTCTGTGACTAAAATCATTATTTGGCCTCTTCATTTCCAATAAGAGGAAATATCAGTAAGCTATTACATGTTAAGACTGATATAAAAGTAAATTGCTGGTCGTTTAATAATCAGTGATTGAGTAGTTTTGCTTATTTACAACTAAGCAGAAATGAGTTATTTTCAAAATTTGTATTTAAAATTAGAATTGAGAGTGATGCACTCCTTAAAATGCTTTGTACATTTAAAACCAGACAAGCATTATAATGCTTAAAGTTTCTAATAAGACTTTAAAAATATAGTTGGGGCCAGAGAAATAGTACAGTGGGTTGAGCATTTGCCTTGCATGCTGCCTATCCAGGACCAATCCCTGGCTTCCCATATACTTCCCTTGCTAACCACCAGGAGTCATTCTGAGTGCAGAGCCGGGAATATCCCCTGAGTCTGAGATGTGCACCCAAAAAGCCAAAAAGAAAAAAAAAGTTGCATCTCAGATGCACAAGCAAAAATAGTGCCAATTTTTAAACATTTCCTCTAAATTCTTTTTTTCTCATGAAAAATAGTGTATTTCTAACTTTTTATAGCAGAAATATTTCAGTGAACTAATTTTACTAGATATTGTTGATTTTGATGAATAAGTTTTATAAAATTTTTTAAAAAGAAACTATGCCTAATAGCCCTTTTATGAAAAGATAAGTATTACATCAGTGTTTTGTGTACACTCCCTTACTGGCCCTTAATGTAACCTCAAAAATGCAGGTTTTTCTTCCATAATGTCTAACTTAGTAAAACTGGTTCCAGGTTTTTATTGACATAAGTATGATAGATGTAAAATGTGCTAGGAGAGAGTATTTCATTTCCCCAAGAATTTTTTTGTATTTAAGAAAAAATTATTCTTTGTTCTTTAGTCACAGTTTGTTTAATTAGGTAATAAGAACATTCTCATTGTGTTGCTATGAAGTCTTTATAAACAGGAATCTCCCTCTCTCTCCTCAACAGTAACTTTTTTACTGACTCTTTTTACTTTCTCTAAAGTAGGACCCTGAGCAGGTTATTTCCTTCTGCATCACTTTTGATTTTCTTCACAACATTCTCCACAGTCTAAAATGATCTTAGTTATGTGTTTCTTTATTAATGCCTGTCATAAATTATCTGATTGGGTTGTTGGGTTTTTTTTTGTTTTGTTTTTTTTTTTTTTTTTTTGCTTTTTGGGTCACACCCGGCGATGCTCAGGGGTTACTCCTAGCTTTGCACTCAGGAATCACTCCTGGCGGTGCTAGGGGGACTATATGGGATGCTGGGAATCGAACCCGGGTCAGCCACATGCAAGGCCTTACCCGCTTACACCTTACCCGCTGCGCTGTGCTATTGCTCCAGCCCCTGAGTGGGTTTTTTTTTTGAGTGTTCACTTATAGCTTTCTTCGGAATAGAGAAAATGCTCATTTTTGTTGAAAATACGATTTCCAGGTGTAAGTTGAAGCTTGCTACCCAGCATGCAAGCTAAGAAATTCCAAGCTAAGAAATACCTCTGTCAGTAGTCAAGAATGTCTCTTGTCTTTACTTCATTTTATTTGGAGGGTGGGCAGGTGTTGAACATGCATTACACTAAGATATATCCCTTGCTCCTTAACCCCTTTTAATGTCTTATTTTTTTTTTTGCCTTTGTGGGGCTAAAAACTAGCAGTAGAAGGAAGCAAACTAGATAATGTGGAAATCTGTTCTTCACTTTTGTTTACAGAGGGAAAGCCAGGAATTGCATACAGCTTTATTTCCTTTTTCAGATTCTTAGTTTTACAATACAAATTATTTTTTAATATAATAACAGTCTTGCCATGTATAATTTTACTCTGCTATTAAGATAGTGGGAGGCTATCTTGAACAGATTATTATTCTATTTATCGTTCATAATTTGTGTGGTGATTATAAAGGGATTTTAGGAATTTGTTCCTATTTTCTTAATGAGCTTGAA